TTCAGCTCATCTGAACCGTCTCTAGCAGCAGTCCACAGGTGACCTAACTTGAAGTCGGTTTAGTACTTTGTCGTAAACTGATTACTTCAGTGCAAAAGTATTTTGGATAGAACTAATAGGTGCACTGGTGTAAAGTCATCTTGACAAGTTTTACCAGCAGACATTGTTTTATTTGTATTTATATGTCTTATCTGAAGCTATAAAGTCCTTGAGGTTATGCCAAATGGTGTCATGATTGGGAAAAAAACAGACCTTAACCCAAAACACTGATAAAAGCGTCATAATATTTATCATTAATCTCTGAGACTCTGAAGCACAACAAGGTGATAAATGCATGTTTCTAGTTAGCATGCGACACATGAGACACGCTAACTTCTGTAATTAGCTAAAACTTTCCGTGTCATGCTGTGACAGGAGCTTAATGCAGCTCACAAGAGGACATTACTGATTAAAAAATACAAAACGTTTGAATGGGTCACAAGCCAGAGGAGTCCTGCGACCTTTGCTCCAGATTCACAGCTAACAGCGGGAGGCGAGCACGTCGTTGTGAAGGAACAAGGGGAAAAAAATGACACATACAATAACAAAACGTCTCCACAATTTACTTTAACATACACGACTTTACCTGAGAAGCCGCTCCTTCCTCTTAAACAAGCTCTCAAGGCCATTTCGCGTCTGTCGGAGCTTCTGCAACTTCGTCTTCTTCTGTGGTGGTTGGTCCTCCTGCTTCTTCCGCGCCGCCTTCTTCTTCTACGGTTTTATAGCCAAGCAGGCTCCGCCCACCGCTGTAGAGCAGAAACAGGTTCAGGATGGATAAACATGTAGTAAAACGTTCAAATTGGTTAAAAAATAAATATATAAATAAAAAACTTCTATAATTAAGTGTACTTGTTACATGTTCCATTTGCTTTATTTGACTAGATTATATTTTTATTTTATTTATCTATGTATATATATTTCTTGAACACTTTCGGTATCTTATTTTATTTTATTTTTATTTTATTTTTTATTGCAACTGGATACAGGCACTAAACACATTTCACTACGCATTGTACTGTGTATAATTGTGTATGTGACGAATAAAAGTTTATCTTTTCTTATCTTACTTACATTTGCTTATATTTTGTACTTGATTTGTTTAATTGTTACTGTGATGAAGTAGATAAAGTGATGTCTTTATATATATATATATAAAAGACAAAAGCAGATGTCAATATCAACCAAAATTATATATCTTAATTCTAAAAATCTGGAGAAAAAAAATCTAGAGTTTTGAAATGCTGATCTCCTTTACCCATGTTTTTTTTAATTTATTTTTTTATGTTATTTTTTTAAACAAACTATTTTGCTTCTGTTTTCCTTATTGACATTGGCTCCGCTTGATTTTCTTTTTTCCCAGATGATCCACTGATTCATTTCCTTGAGCTCTTACATGAGCTGGCATCTCCTAAAACTGTATTTATTTATTTTTATTTGACCTTTTTTTTTTTACCAGGTAAAAATGCTTGAGAACCAGTTCTCATTTGCAAACATGACCTGACCAAGAGGCACAAACAAATACACATGTAAATTACAGACACAACTAGACACATAGACATAACAAAGAACAAAAGTAAAAAAGTAAGAAGCATGGGGGCGTATGCATTAAATAAAATGCTTCATTTTTTTCAATGTCCAGAAATGTACAAATCTAAGACATTACTCCATTGTCACCATTGCATATGTTTGTATTTTCTTTGGGCTTTTCTGGTGTTAACAATGTCAGAAAATCGTCACTGCCTAAAGCCCTTGTTGACATCCAGATTGCTTTTTGGATATCATAAGCAAAAAGTTCCTTGCTTTAAAAAAAACAAAACAATAAAATAATCCCATTGGTAATCATCCATTCTATAATTTTAAAACAAAGTACTGCTGGTAAAGCTAGAGACTGATGTAAACTGAGTATAAATGTGTCTTTACCTAATTTTTGAATCGGGACTAACAGACTATGAGAAAACTAAAATAACTGAGAAAAATCTCCCAAAATCTACTAATATTGTTTCTATTTTTTTCTATCTCATCATTTTTAACTCAGACAGCTTCATTCTCTTTCTTTAGAAGTTTATAATAAATGAAATGAAATACAACAAAATGCTGTTCTAGGTTAAGAACAAGAGGAGGAAGTGGGGACGGTGGACCTCTAGCGTGGATGTTAACTCAGAATTCTACTTTTAAGTATATATCATATATGCACATGTTTATTCATATGTGTAATGTACTTCCTTCACTTGCTCTGGTGATATCTTGTAAATGTGTTTTTCCTCTCTTGTTGTGCCTCCTTTCCAGC